CTGTTGTCCCCTTCTCCTCTTGCCTTCACACTTTCCTAACATCAGGGGCTTTTCCGAGGAGTCTTCTCTTTTGTATAGCCCATTAACAAAATGGCACTTCACGAGAGACCCAAATTATTTAATTTCTCATTCATAGATCTTTTCCATCTGGACTGAAACTTATCAGTTGGCACTAAGGGAGCCAACCCCACAGGAAGGACAAATGCCCTGCTCTTGCACAGACCTTGGAAAAGTTACCTTTTTTTTGCACTCCACTCCACTGGCTGTGGCATTCAGGAAGGTGCAGTATGGAAAAAATAACCTTTATGTAAGCTTTACATTTGTATGACTCTTTTAACATAAGTTATGTAGTGCTATAGCCTCACCTGTTGCTTTGAATTTTACAGACAGCCTCGCAATAATATTTATTCCTCCCAACCTGCCTGTGATGTTGGATACAATATTTGCTATTTTATAGAATGTGGGAGGGGGGGAATCAGAAAGACTTGATCTATGATAGTATGGAGAAAGGAAGGACCTGAAAACAGCACCTCGGATATAAATCCAGGTTCATAACTCCTGGTTTTGAAGTACGGCAAGCACAGATTTGCCAGAAAGGAGCTTTTCCATTTGATGTAACTGTTCTCTTTGAGATCTTGTTCACATTTTATGGAGAGCCCTCTTTTGTGCTGGTTTGAAAGCCAGGGGTGCCACTATTCATTCTGTTGCTTTTCCGTTCGATCCCCATCTCAAGATGCAATGTGTTTACGTTAAAGGATCTCTGCTCAAAGCAGTAGGTCTTTCTGACGTAAATGTATTTAGGGCTGCTGCCACCGCTGCCTGTGATGATAAAGCCAACCTTGTACCGAGTGGCATGTTCTGTTTTTATCTCCTGAAAACAGCTCAGCCTTGTTGAACTTTGGGGGTCTGTTCTCGGGCTCCTAATCTTTAAAGAGGCATCCATGCCAGCATCTCTTTGAAGACCATCGGTGGAGCCCTCTCCCCCAACTTCTCCATTTATGGAGGTATTTTATCTCTATCCCCTTGATTCTCTTTTTAACACAGAACAGGAGATCCACAAATAGATACGTTTCAAAGGCTCTGTCCCTGTTTTAAGAGCAAGGTTGAGAAAGCTTTGCCCAGAGACATTATTTTACATGCCTTCTTCGGGAAGTCATGTAAAAGCAGAAGGTGGCAGTAAAATCCAAAAAGTAGGAAGGGCTATGACCAGATGGGCCAGACTTGTAATGTGGATGTACTTGAAATGTTTCAGTCAACAGCCAAGTTGAGTTTTACCTGGTGGGGTTCCCATTCTGGGTGCTTGGCAAGAGTAATGACAAATAGGCAGGTCTCAGTTGACTGGCTTATTAAGTGTAAAACATTTATAGCCAGTGAATAACCTTTAGCAAGTCCATTTCAACTTTTTTTTAAAATTGGACAAAAAATAATGGAAACCCACACATGGTGGCATCTTATGTAAGGAAACACGGCTGCCTAGGGAGGACCAGAGAAACAGACTAGATCCTAAGAGGATTGGATTTGGCCCCGGGTTGGAGGTAATGTACAGTAATGTAGGTATATAAATTATTTCATTTAACTGAAGTCCCATGGTTTTTCCAGAACTGGGACTCAATGCTGCTCACGCTTGCCTTTATCCTTTGGACAGAATCATCTGTTACCCTGAACCGCTCTGAGTTCTGAAGCCAAGCTGGATTAGACCCAGTTAGTACACAAATAGGAGAAACCTGGGGTCATATGAGCTACAGCAAGGAAAGAATTCTGCCTGGAACCACATTAAGTCAGAATGGATATTAATGAGTCAGATGATTTGCCATTCAGGACCAGCTCAGTCACGGAACAAACAAGAGGCCGCTGCTTCAGAGAGCAGGTTTGGGGTGTCCCAAAAGGAGAAACGACTTGTGAGCTATTTACACATTCTTAGATGTTCTGCCTCATGGGCCGAAATCTCATATGTCTTTGGACTCAACATTTACTGCTCCACCTCTGTCAGCAAAATGTCTTGGGCTTTTTCCTGCATCCCTTCCAAGCAGTAGCCATGCCTAAGGCTGCTCATCATTCCAAATCAAACCAGATCGCTGTCCTCAGAGGTGGCATCCCGTGTAAACTGGCTAATGGGTTATTTCTGGGTATCCTCCAGCCCAGTTCCTCCCCTCCTATCCTGACAACCAACCCATTTTACCGATGGCCCCTGGGGAAAAAAATTATCACGTGCCATCACATCATCAATTCTGACATACAGTGACCCTTTTTCCAGAGTTTTCCAGGTAGAGAAACACTCAGAAGTGTTTTACCATCCCCTTCTTCTGGGGGGTGCCCAGGGAACTGCCGCTTGTCCAGGGCTCCCCAGGCTGGCTGTTCTCCCAAGGAGGCACCGAATAGGACTTGAACTCCCAACCCTTGACACCACAGCCATAGACCTAAACTGTTGAGCTATCCAGCCAGCTCTGGGGGGTAGGGAAAAAAAAGGAGCAACCAAATCGCCTCCTTCAGGAGGTCCCTTCCTCCTCCTCCTCCTCCTCTTCCTCCTCCTGGCTGTGGATGCGGTTGCCGTGGCAATGGAGCCCCAGCATCTCTGGTCTCCTAGCAACGGTTGCCTGGATGGCAAGGCGGCGGCATCTCTCGGCTGGCTTCCTCCCCCCCCCCTTTTCTCTCTCTCGCTTATTCCCTCCTCTCTTTTTTTTTTCCTCCTCCCACCCAACGCTGGGACTTGGCCAGATGGGGAATGCGCAAGCTCCGCCCGGGCCGGGCCAACGGCTTAGTATCATCCTCCCCATCATGGCGCTCAGGCGGCGGGCGGCGCTTTTCCTCCTCTTCGCCGCGATGCTCCGTGAGTCTCTTGCCCACCCCCGGGCTGAGGTTCGGGTGGGAGGGGGGAAAGAGGGAGAAAAAAAGAAATCTGGAAAGGGGGGGGACCTTTTGGGGTGGCTGCCGGGGTTTGCACGTTCGCACCAAAGAGGACTCAAGTATGGGAAGCAATTGGAAGGGGTTGTTTTTTGGGGAGGGGGGTTATTTGTCCTTCCCTCCCGCCCGTCATGGTTTTCATCCACCACGAGGTGGGTGATCTGGAGGGGGGGATGATCTGGATCCGTGCAAGGGAGGTATCGAACCGGCTGGGCTGGGGGAGCGCTTGGTGGTCGACTTTCCTCCCCAGCGCGAAGCCGGTGGGACAATAGAGGCTCTCGATGGTGCCTTTAGGAAAGCTGGGATTGTTTGGAAGGCTTTGTTATTTTTTTTTGGGGGGGAGGGAGGGAAACCTACGCTGGGGAAAAGAAGCGAATGGTGTTGCTAGCATCTTTGGAGGAAAACCCCGAGAGGTAGCTCAAGGAAAGGAAAGTTTTCGCCTTCTTGAGAAATAACGGTGCTAGGAAGTCGAGGTCCGATGCTTATGCATCGGCCGAAGTTAACCCAAGAACAACCAGCAACAACAACAACAAAGGCCGGGTGGAGCGAAGCTTTGTTGGGAAAAGTTGCCCTTAGAAGAAAACCAATCCTTGGGCTTCAATAGATGGCACTTCCAAAGATCCTGGGAAACTTTGGGGTTGATTATGTTTCAGGCGCCTTCTTCCCCGGGGCCTTTTGAAATTCTGCGCCTTCTGCGCCGAATAAAAACTGAACAATTTTTTTTTTGTCCTGTGTTCCAGTAAAGGACCAGATGGGGAATGTCTGATTCAGCTCCCTTCTGAAGGAGAGACAAAAGAAGGGGTACTTATCAAGCCAGGAGTTCCCCTTTGGGGCTTTTCACTCAAGAAGGTCTTTTGTTTATGGGGAGGGGGGGCATAAGAAGAAGCGCCCACCTCTATACAAGCAGCTGGCATTTCTTGTTTTTTTCTTTGAAATACATCCTGCTGTTGTAGGCTGGAAGGAAGGCGAGAGGGTGCAGCAAGATTACTATTTTGTTCTTGTGTAGTGTGTTTGGAAGGGTGTGGAGTGGGATGTGGGGTGAAAAGGGAGCGTCTGGTTAAAAATCTGATATAGGAAAAGGGGGGCCCTCCTTCACCAGTTCATCTGTATGCAGTTGAGAATACATGCACATGCAATAATAAAAGGGTTTTATGGCTTCCTTCCAAGGCTCCCTGCCGTTCAAGCGCTTCCCCCACTTTTCCAGAGAGAGAGCACCAGAGAATCAGGAATGCGCTGGTGCCTGCCCAGTTGATACTGGATCCCTGTTCACTTGGCAACAGAGACACCCATTGTTCCAGGAGCCCCACACAAATGTTTGTAGCATTAATTGCAAAAACATTTGATAATGCCATTCACGGTTGCTGCTAAACGAAGACCCGAGGATGGCAGGAGGGGGTGTGGGGGGTGGGAGAGCTTGTAGCCAGGGGTCATCCTGCTAAACGAAGACCCGAGGATGGCGAGGTGGGGTGGGGTGGGGGGTGGGAGAGCTTGTAGCCAAGGGTCATTGGGCTGCTTTTGGCTTATTTGGTTTATGGCGTTGAAAACGTGCCCGTGTAGAAAAAAAAATAGCACGAACTTTCTGTACAGCTTATTGCTCCTGGTGACTCAACATGGGAACACTTTATTGCGACAGCCAGAAAAATACATAGATGCATGGGTATAATCAATGACCACATTGTCTGATAACCTCACACACAGAAATTGTTTGGGAGGGGGAGGGGTGTTTTGTCACGTTTCCAACAGCCCTCGAAAATGTTGATGTTACTCTCCCTTTTTTAAGGGATTATTTCAATTATTCTCGCTCCAGTTGGTTTAGTTTTGGGGAGAATCCCAGCCGTTCAAAGACCGGGACTGAATTTATTTTCAAGGCCATCCTGGATGCCAAAGGCATCAAAATATGCAAGGGGGTAGCCCTGCAAATCAGTTGCAGCAAAAACGGGGAAGATCTCTGTGGCACCTTTAAAACTAGCAACTTTTATTGTGTATGATTACATTTCTAAAGGTGACCTGGAGGTTTTTCGTTGGTTTTGCCAGTGGGCCTGCCTATGCAAGAAGGAGGAACAAGCTGTAAAATTCTGATTGCTAAATGCTCTTTTCTTTTTATTCCCTGTCTTCTGCCATCAGCCTAGAGGTTGATTTACAAAGCAGCATTAAATATTCCGTGCTTTGAGGTGTCTGCAGTCTAGATGGACATCATCACCTACTCTCACGTCGGGAAGGGGACATAACTCATCACTATCCAAAACACATTTTGCCTGCACTTAAAAGACCACCACTGCAAAACAATTGAGGTGCTAATTTAATCATTGAAACTCTAAAGCAGTCTGCAACTAAAGTCTCTAAAGGATTGCCTTTTTTACTATATGAACCTTCCCATTGCAAACTTTCCAGACGGTGCCTTTACTGTGATGGCCTCTGAAAATGAATTCACCCACAGTTATCCTGCAGGCTATGTCCTCCCAGATTTTAAACAATATTGCTAAGCTCATTGGCGTTTTTGTTTTTAATGACATCTCATGTCTGATGTCTAGGTATCTAGACTATTCTTTTTCCTTTGTATGTCGCGGGGTTTTTATTTCAAACTGAGTTGTTTGTTGCTTCCTCACGCATCTTGTAAATGTTTTCAAAAGTTGGTTTGTCGGTCTCAAAAGATTTCTGAAACGGTTAACAGCTGGAAACACAAAATTCTGCATTGATACGGTAGAAGTTTTGTTTATCGACTGAAATTGGTTTCCTTAGAACGTCAGCTGGGCCCTCTTGTAAATTACCTTCTGTTCTGGTCATGCTCAACCATGAACATTGGTGAGACTGTTTGACAAATATGTCAGAGGATCTCCAACGTATGCTTTGCCTCTCGCCGGAAACCAATGGCTTATCAATATTTCTGTTTTCCCCACAATGGCTTTGAAATGGTAACACATACATGTGCACAAATCTTAACCGATTGGCCCACCTAAAGGTCTGAAATGATTATATCTTGATATTTGTTCTATCTAATCCCCAGTGGGACCAACAACATTTAATTTCTCATAGTGCTGGATTGTAGGACTTTGGTGGACTCTTCTGTATAGTGTGTCAAATAAAACTACAATGATCGGGTCTTTTCCTTCAGCGATGAGCTAGGCAGTTCCTCTCTTGTCTACCAGGCCTTTTATCCAATCTGTAGTTGAAAAATAAATCACTTTTGTAACACACTATGATGTAAACAAAAACAAGCCCTGACAAATAGTATAGGCTAAAATATTTTTCTTTGAACTATAATGGTTGGATGGGAATGACTGTGATATGAACATTGTCCAGTGTCTAAAAATGGGGCTCCAGTTCCATGCAAGTTCAAACGAGTCCTGTGGTGAATACTGTGGTAATGAAGTATGGAAGCAGAAGGAGAGGAAAGACCGGCATAAAAGAAAAAGAAAAAAGAAGTTGAAGGTTGTGGGAAAAAGAGGGGCAGAGCACTGGGGTGATGGGGGTACAACTAATAAGTTTTTAGCCAAGGCAAAGACAGATGTTCTTGTTCAGTTTGGGACAGAAATTATGGAAGTGTGACGAAAGAACCGTATGGCAGAAGGAAGACGGCACCGTGTCAAGTCAAGACCAAGTTACAGTGGTGCCTCGTTTAATGACGATAATCCGTTCCAGGAAAATCGCCGTTAAGCGAAAACATCATAAAGCGAAAATAAAAACCCCATTGAAACGCATTGAAACCCGTTCAATGCATTCCAATGGGGCAAAAACTCACCGTCCAGCGAAGATCCTCAATACGGCGGCCATTTTCACTGCGTGTATAGCAAGGAATCCATCCCTAAACACAGCGGGGAGCCATTTTAATCACCCGGCAGCCATTTTGAAACTGCCAATCAGCTGTTCAAAAAACGTCACTTTGTGAAGAATTGGTTCCTGAAGCAGGGAACCGATCATTGCAAAGCGAAATTCCCCCATTCAGACCATCATTTTACGATCGCAATTACAATCGCAAAAAGATAGTCGTTAAGCGGTTTCGTCGTAATGCAGGGCAATCGTAAAGCGAGGCACCACTGTATTGGGAGAAGAAAAAAAACAAATCAATTCATCTGTGTGACATAATTCTGATTTACTTGAGTCCTCATCCCTGCTTCAGAGGATGGCATTCTCAAGTTGTTGTGACCCCCGCCTAGGCCTCGAGACGACTTACTCTCGGTCGAGTTTGGTGGCGAATTACACCCTGCATCTTTGAGAACATAATCGGGAGTCCTGGAATTCTTTGGCGCCACAAATAGGCTTTGTGCCTACAAAGACCTTTCTGTAAGATTGTAGTTAAGAATGTCACTTTTAAAGATAAAACATCCAGCTGTCTTTCAAGCAGGCAAGTGCTGCCATGGGCCAGCTGTCCGGGGGGCCTTCAGTATCGATTTTTGTGGTGCTGTTGTGTTTAGCCTTGAAGCCTCCAACATTGGAAAGGGGAACTCGAGTGCTAGAAACACAAGGAGCGGTGTGACTGTTGTGAGATAAGGACAACGACCCTGTACACACGCTTACTGAGTTGGGTGACACGATCAGTGCAAATTCCGGTACATCCTTAAGCAGCCGTTTGGTGTTTCCCATTAAATAAACAGTAACTTCTCCACCAGACTATAAGAGGAGCATCTGTGTGTCACCTCCACCCCATGTGTGTTCGCTTTACAGCTGTTGGCCAAGAATGTGTGAGCATAGCAAGCTGCCTCTTGCTGTCAAGTTTTAGTGCAACTGCTTTTGTTGCTTAAGTGCTTCTCGGTTGACAGGGAACTGTGCGTGCGTGCCTGCTTCTCTCTGTGTTTGTTTTTCAAGAACCATAATGACCTCATATTAAATGTGGGTTTTTCTTTTTTCCGACCTGTTTATTTCTATCACCCAAGATTAATGTTGTTTATCTTGGAGACTCCTTCAGAGTTTGTATACCTTCCTGTTAAA